GGGGTTAGTATCTTGCCCAAGGACATTTGGCATGCAGCCAGGAGGCAGCCTGGTGAGCGGCTGACCTGCTCTGCCACCTGAGCTACAGCCACCCTATGATGTTTTTTAACGTTATGTATGTTTTACTGTTTATCAAATATTTCCGTACCTCACCTAACAAAGTATTTCCTTTTTTGCCTGATATTTTGAACCAAAACTTGGTAAGCATCTAAATCGGCTTTTTATCTGTTGTACAGGAAACAAAAATGTTAATTCACAAAGGGGAAAATCAAAATATCATAAATAATAAAATTAAAAAAGCAGTTGTCTGATTCTATGAATTATTTTCTATATTTAGAAAAAAACATCTTTAACACTTGTTATTTACATATCAGACACACACAGACAATTTTTCAAATTAAATCTTGTAAACAGTTACTGAAACTTAACTGGCAGCTCTTTTCAAAACTCCTGACTCCTCTTTTATTAAAAATTCTGCTTGCTGCAATCCTACAGCAATTCCTGTAAGAACAACATGGTCTAGTTTTACTCTTCACCAACCACTGGTTACCTGCCTTTAAGAAACTGGGAATTGTGTTTCAGGGCAGGATTAGATGAGAAAATGTACCAGGATGAAAGTGAAGTGACATTCAGCCTTTGTAATAATTATACAGGATGAGCTCTCTCTTGTTACTGAATGCAATGACATCATTCCGGAGATTGGCAGACGAAACATCCTCTCAAATGAGCTCCACTCACCGCATTCGCATGGCATCCTCCCCTAGCGGTTCCCTCCTTCTCTTTTTTTCTGCTTCCTTGGCCTTTTTCTTTTTCTTCAAGCTGATCTTATCTTTCTCTCTGCTGGTTCTGACCCGTTGTTCTTGGTGTGTAGCATGCTGTATCCAGGCCTTGGCTTTGCTGTCACTGTCGCTGACTTTAGACCGGTGCTGCACCCTGTCAGTACTGTTCCTCTTTGCCCGCTGCTGCCTCACCCTCCTCACCACCAGGATTACCACGAGAGGCAGCAGCAGCAGAAGCCCAATAGCTATGGCAATTACGGCCCAAAGCCACGCGGGAGTCGGCTCTTTAAATGAAAAAATTCAAACAATAAAAGAAGACACAAAGACAAAAAAAACCACTTGAAAAAGATTCATTTTTATCTTTTTGCTTGTATCTATTTATATCTGAAATATGAAACACATCAACAAATCTGAAAATCTGCACAAAATGTACACACTGGAAACACAAAGGTGTTTTATAGTGTTTTGTTTGGATGAAATTCAAAGCTGGAAATGTGCGTGTGTGGGAGACAGGACATGTGAGCCTACCTTCAACTTCCTTTTCCTCCTCTCTGCTTCCTATTTCCTCTCGGACACCTCTAATGCTGATGACGGCATCCAGCTCTGAGAGGTTGGGGAAAGAGGTAGGTTTTAGTTCCTTTACAGCACGCAGGAAATTTGCGGCCTCGGTTGCATAAGGGAAACAGGTAGAGGGTGAACGGGAGCATGGCCTGTTGTCCACTTGGAGGAAAAGGAGGGAGCTAGGAAAAAGAGAGTAAGAAATGATTGGAAAAAACATGTATGTCATCTTTGAGCATTGTTTTATATGTATTTTCACATGGGTAAAATTACCTTTGCAAAAAGCTATACTCTTTCAATAAAATAAATTAAAGAAAGAAAACAAAACACAAAGATAATTTCAAAACAAATAAAGCTACAAAGCTCAATTATGACTGGCTTATTGTAATTAATGGAGTTCCCCAGGGTTGTATGTGTGGCCCACTTTTTTTTGGTCTTAATTGTGTTAATGCACAATGATCCAAAACTTTTATGGAGAATATGGAATTTCACATTTCTGTGAATCTTCTTTCCCAGTTACTTTATTTGCCTTAAAAATATCAAGTCTTAACTATACAGATTAAGGGCCAGATTTACTAACACACTATGCCCCAAAAACTGGGCATTTACAAAGAGAGTGTAGTGACAAGATTGCATCTAAGAAGTGGGAACACAGACTTACTCTGTTGTATATATATTTTTAGGAGTTAACATTTAGGGAGGAGAATATTTAAACCAAACATGTGAACGGATTTACTAACTACTCCATTATTTAAAGCAGAAAACAAGCATGTCTTATTTTTTGCACTTGATACTGAAATGAATTGACCATGCCTGTGTTTAGAAAACAGTATAACTGTAAATCACCTAAAAGACTAACCACGGCTATTTGGGGAATGGGATATGCTATTTTGCCCTATTTAGCTAAGAGCTAACACTTTATTTTTTGAATGCAAACAAATTTAAAGTTACAGATTTTTCTACATCTTTAACACATAGCCTAATCTCTAACTGAAATCAAATGGATAATTCATTAATTCTACTCTAAACTCTAAGCTCATTTGTATATTTTTGTATTTTTACACAGATATTCCTAATTAATTGTACTTGTAATCTTATTTTACACAAATAAGGTTA